GTGCTGGTTTAACTGCTCCTGCAGGAACAGTGCGACTTCCAGCGAGTCAGACTACAGTGGGCTTTTTTGCCTAAACAATTCTAAGGACTTACTGCGCAGTGCTGACATACTAAAACTAATTCCATCCACACTGAGAAAACTCAGTATTTCCCAGTGTCGCATACGTAAAAGGAAATAAAAGCATATTAAATCTGACAGCCCGCTCATTGTTCACGTTTCATGTAGCGTAGCTCGGCAATTAATGTCTTTACTGATGTCCTAAATATAACATATAATCTGATAATTATGAGAACTTATCTCGTAATTATGAGATAAGATCTCATAATATTGAGATCAGGATCTCATAATTACGGGATCGGTATCTCGTAATTATGAGATCTTATCTCATAATTATGAGATAAGATCAGATTTTTTTTCTTTGGTGAATGCAATATGCTTCAATACCCTTTAGCCGCTCACGTGAGGGAACGCCTATTAAACGTGTGTAGTGCATGCACAGGCTCATTTCTCCATGAGGAGGTGCCGAATAAGACGGTGGCTCAGATGGATCTCATCTCTCACATATTTATTTATAAAACGTTTCCCTGCAAAAAGACTGCTGGAATATTAAAAAACCCTGACCTGCTTTTATGTGTATGTGTGCTGCATTGGAAACTTGGACATGTTTGCAGGGTTTTTAAGGATCTGTGGCCACCGAATAACTACTAACAATGCAAATTATAAAATAAATAACTTATCTTCACCGGAAAGTTACAATATAGAAGTAGATAACTTTTACCAGCAGTGATGTGAAATGGATTTCTCCAAATATCATGCCAAACTTTAGCTGTTGAGTAGAAACATTTTGCCACCAAGTCGATGTTTGAACTGAGGCATCAGCGGGAAGCCCGACCTGTGCTTTCAGTGCACGCCATCGAGTGAAAGAATCTCCCAAAAACACTCTGGTCTTGTTTCTCGGAGACACTTTCCCACCATAGTGAGAAAGGTGAGCTTCAATGACGGGCTGAAACCGTAGCTCACCACAGATATACGCCTAAAAGTGCGCATGTGCATAAAGAGATAGCTAGCTGTGGGGACGAGCACATTGGAAGGCCCTATGTGAACATATCATCAGAATGATTAACAATTTGGACAACCACTTATTTGACGATCCACCCGGAAAAATAAAATCCTCCACTATACCTTTAATCTATTCTTAAATGCTCAAATGACAAGGCATCTCCTCATCTAACCAAACCTTAGCAGAAGCAGATTCCCAGGAGACATTTGAGGTCAGAGTCCTCCTGCTCTGTGACCCTAGCAGACAGAACCTGTTCTGTTGCTGCTTGGGTTTTAGCCGCACAGAAATTATAATGTTTTTCCTATCATTCATAGTTTTTTTTTTTATTTTGTAGTTGTTCTTTTTTTCTTTTTTTGCCAATTTGCTAAAGTAGCCACTTCGTCCTAACTTTGAAACAGAATCATCACGATCTGCTTCACATTTCCCCTCCCCAATCGGAAAAAGTGAGTTTTTTTGTTGTTGTTTTCTCTTTACATTACAGGCACACTCTGGTTACTGTAGCTCACTGACAGTTCTAGACAGGGTCCAGTGCTCTTGTAGAACTAGTTCTGGCCCATTTTCTGGTCCCTGTACTGAAAACATAATACTACACCAATTTGGTATGATATGAATACACAGAAAGGACTAAAATTGTCTGGTTCCTTTGAACAATTTCATCTAAACTTAATTTAAGGTGTATCAGCCAGATTGAGAGATCCTCAAACTATTCCGTCCATCGTCCTACAATGTCCTCTTTCAAGGTCAGCAGCTCTCCACTTCCACTAAAAACAGTGTTAGCAAAGTACTGCTTTCCCCTCATGAGGCACTAAAGGTTTCCCAGAATCGCTTTGAGTTCAGCTGCTGGTCTTCCTCCATGGCCCCACCAAACTCCTCCTGGGCCTGAGATTTTGCCTCAGCAGTCGCAGAGGCAAACAATACCTGCTTGCGGCTTCAGGAGGCACACGTGCCAACCAGGCTCGATAAGACTCCTTTTTCAGCTTGATGGCATTTCTTACTGCCGGTGTCAACCTCCTGGTTTTGGGGTTTCCTCCACAACAGGTACCACAGTGCTTACGGCCACAGTTACAGCGGGTGCATGAACAATGGAGGCAGAGAACATGGTCCACTCAGACTCTCCAGCCTCCCGGGGGTGAGAGTTGAGCATGCCCCTGATCGAGGGCTCAACCAGATGTTCCCAGCAGACCCTCAGTATTCGCTTGGGCCTGCCAAGTCTGTCCAGGCTCCTCCTCTTCCAGCATATCCAACTGGGGGACAGCTCCACACAGGCTCGGACTAGTAATCTGTGATACCGAGCATGTGCCCGGTGGGCCGGTCTTAATTTCAGCGTGCAAGGGCCGGCCCTCCTTTAAAAATACTGGCCCCAACATTTACTCTCCAGCCGAAGCTCCTACCTGTGACAGTAAATAACTCAAGAGCTCAAGAAGTAATACAATGTTAACTACCTAAATGATGCATGCAGTATAAATAGCCCTTCCTTGTCATGCACATCCTTGTGACGGTTGGCATATGGTGTAATTTTCTTCAAACTGTAAAATCCTATTTCTTCAACTACAAAATACTTGCAACTTTTAACTTTTTTTTATTAGCAGACTTCAGCAGTTTAACAGACCAGCTAAGAACTACTTCCCTTCTTACTTTAAATTAAGAGTCTAAAATATGGATACAGAGTTTCAGTCTTTAAAGGACAAACCTTCATTTTTGTGATCAACAGTGTGTGTTTCCACAAGTGATGATTTTCTAAGAACAACAGTTTTCTGTGACTATCATCACCAACCTGTTATTACTGCATGTATGAAGGTAAGAGCAGATCACTACAGTAAAGGTCGTGGTAGTGCAATGTCTCTGTAGAGTATAAGGGAAGGGTGAGTTTAGGTTATCATATCCAGGCTTGATTTATTAAAGCTGTGATTTCAATGGCTGCATAATGGCTGCATAAACCTTATGTTTTCTGGTGAAACTGTCATGATTTTACAAAAGTTCAGACCCAAATGCAGAAGACCAGGAGACCAGGGGAAAAGGTTTAACAGGTTTTATTGAAGAGATAATACAGAGAG